TGCTCTAGGACTCTAAGTGATGCAATCTACCCTAAAATGTGATACAAATGCATGAAAAGCTAACTAATGAGTATGCAAAATGTATGCAATATGCAGTAACATCACAAAGGCAACTCTTGAACTCCAAAGGACCTAAACCGCAAGGTATAGTGAAGCTTCCAGGGTCTCCCAACTTCTTAGGGACTATCTCCTTGTGTATCACAGCACTACACTCCTCACTTAGAACGAGCACTTCCTTGCTTTCCTTATTCTTCTTCACGAGAGTGTCTTTGAAGAATTTGGCGCATTTAGGCATCATTGCAAGGCAGTCCACGAGAGGTAGCTTGATCTCTACGTCCTTAAGATGCTTCTCAAACAAGACTCTATGCTTCTCTATGAGTTGCTTCTTGAAACGGCCAGGAAAAGGTAGCTTAAGTACATACGGCGGAGGTACATAAGCATCCTTCTCCTTAGTAGTTTGCTCCACTTTCTTCTCAACAACCGCCTTGTCACCTCTTCTTGGCCCTTGAATCCAGACATTGTCAAAGTTAATCTCATCATCAGCTGAAAGCTTATCCTCCCCCTCTTGAATTACAACGTCCTCGTTGTTCTTTTGAGTAACCGTAGGTGCTAGCTCTTTCCCACTCCTTAGCGTAATGGCATTGGCGTACTCCTTGGGATTTTGCTCACACTTGCCCGGTAAGCTATTCTGACCACTTGAGCTTGCCTTTCCCTTCTCTAGTTGCTTGATTTTGTTATTCAAGGTTGTAATCTGAGTAGAAAAATCCGTGATAGACGAGTCTAAGCGAGTGTTTATCTCGGCAAACTTCTGGTTTGTAGAGGCTTGCCCTTGAATCAATTTTTGAAACATAGCTTGGACAGGATCAACTTGTTGTTGCATCGGTTGGTGCTGCTGAGGTACAAAGCCCGGGGGGTACATTGGCGTATAACCCTTGTTTCCTTGCTGTTGTCCTTGGAAGTTGTTCTGCCCTTGCCCTTGGAAGCCACCAGTCGGCGGAAAACCTTTGTTGTAAGGTACGAAAGGCTTTGCTTGCTGAGCAGAGTACACCTGATCCTTAGGGTTTGCGACATTGGTGCTACGGTATGAGAGATTGTTCTTCTGGTTGTAGCCTTGTGAATATCCTTGAGGGTTGTAGTTGTTTTGACCTGCCACCCAACTGGCTTCTTCTTGGCTCAACTCAAGCTCCTCTTGGCTCTCATCCGCTTCACCAACAAAGTGAACATGCTTCTGATTTGCCAAAACCAACTTGTCAATCTTCTCATGCAAGGATTTCAACTCTTTCTTGTGAAACTCTAGCTCAGAACCCCTCGGTGCACGGTCATAATCCTCAGCATAGTTGCCATCACTTAGTTCTAAGTTCTCAATCAGCTCCATGTCTTCTTCTACCTCTTGACCAAGAAAGTTTCCCTTACTAGCCTTGTCAAGCAACAAGTGAATCTCTGGTGATGCTCCTCGGTAGATAGTGCTTAGAAGAGTCTCTTCGCTGAAGCCGTGGTGAGGACATTGGATAGTATAGTCCTTGAACCGTTCCATGGCTTCATTAAAAGTCTCATTGTTCCTTTGCGTGAAGCCGCTGATCTCGCTTCTTAGCCTTGCCGTTCTGGTGCTAGAGAAAAACTTGGAGAGGAAAGCCTTCTTACACTCAGCCCAAGATGTAATGGTGCCTTGTGGAAGTGTCTTCTCCCAATGTCTAGCCTTGTCTCCAAGAGAAAATGGAAAGAGACGCAGCTTGAAAGCATCTTCGGATATGCCGTTTATCTTGATCATCCCACATACTTGTTCGAAGTTATCAAGGTGTTCCAAGGGATCTTCCATTTCTAGCCCATGAAACTTATTGTTTTGCACCATTGAGATGAAACCCGGCTTAATCTCGAAGTTGTTGTTCTGTACAGGAGGAGGAGTGATCCCAAACCTATTGTGATGAGTATTAGGAGCATCTCAAGCTCCTATGATCCTTGGGGGTCTAGCCGCGTGTTGGGGGTTTCCATTGCCCCTTCCCACTGCCCCGTGAGCTGGAGGAGGTCCCTCTGGGTGCTCGTATTCAGCCATAGCTTCAAAGTCAACCAAACCGTGCTGAACAATCTCCTCAAAAGCTCTAGCTTGTTCTCGTACTCTTCTTTGCCGTGAATGACCAAGTTAATGAATGTTGCCCAAGGGTTGAAGTAGATTGTTGTCTCCCCTTGAACGAAGATTCATGTACCTGAAAGGCACACGTTTGAGAGTAGAGAAATTAGTAACTTAAACAAAGTAAAGGCTTAGTCTTTACTAAACCCCAAATCTAAATGCTTTCTAAACACCCCTAGAATGGCAACGGCGCCATTTGATAACAAGGTTTCGCAGCAGAGTGTATGCAATGATGTATCAAAGCTCAAATGCATCACTAAATTGTAGTAAAGTATGCAAGTGAGTATCAATCCAATCCTAGGAGCTAGAAATATCAGTGAGAATGCAAGGATCGAGTAAAGCTAGGCAAATGATGAATGATTTTGAGAAATTCCTAAAAACTAGATGCTATGATCAAATGCTAGGCAGAACTATTTTAAAAATACCAGGAATGAGCTAGCTACCACGAGGAAAAGACAGAATAATTAAATTGCAAAGCTACGAATTACTAAAATTCGACTAGTGGATCGACCACGCGATCGACCACTAGACCGAGCAAAAGCAATCGATCTAAAAAGCAGTTTTAAGCGAAAGTAAATCTAATGACCAGGATGAAAGCAAGCAAAGAACGAATGATCAACAGGGACTAAGAAATACTAAAAGGAGGGTCTAGGGTTGAGATTCATGTTCAGGGGTTTCAAAGGTACAAGCCTTGTTTGAAAACTCTAGATCTACTCACTTTGTGAGGTTCTCTAAGCCTTGAAAACAGAACAAGATCCATCCATGGTGTTTGGTACGGATCACTCTCTCATTCTCTCCTCCAGACCCATGGCGTTTGGCGGAAGAAGAGATTGAAAGGCAAGGAAAACAGATTTCAAACATGCGGCTTAATTAGTCCTCTAAACTACCATGGCGTTTGGGAAAGAGAAACTAATCTCTAGGATGCGATTTTCAGAGATCTCTGGATCCTGTGAAGGTAAGAGTTCTCTCTGATCTTAAGGATCTTGGCGTGAGACTCTTTAAGCCTTAAGAACTCGACATCCTAGAAGAGAAAGCCTTTAAAAACAAGAAAACACCAAACTTGAAAACCCTTTCGACCCCATGAATCCTCTCAACCCCAAAACCCTATAAATCTACTCGCGACTCATGAGATAAACCGTACGAAATGCAATAGACGAAGAACTAAACATGAAAGGCGATTGATTTAACTTAAACGATCCAATATTCAAAAGCAAAACAAGATAAAAGCTTTAAGTTCAACAATGGCGAATCGCCTAAAAACGAGAGAGAAGATGAAAAAGTAGCCGACAAAACGTGATAAGGAAAGGGATCGTTGGTTTTTGCCTAAAATGGCCAAACCGCAAATGGTCCCCCCCTCTTCGCTACAGTCCAAAAACAGGCTGAACGGATAAGGTTGGTCTGGGATCGATCATGAAGCTCTATCTGGCAATCGATCATGTCTTGAATCGAGTGGCTCTTGGTCGATCCTCGAGTCGATCTTGTGCTGATCGGGTTGGAAGCTCGATCCGGTCCTCGATCTGCATGGCGTCGTCTACGTCTGTACTTTAAATCGATCTCCATGCTCGATCTTCTGGTCTATCCCATCTAGATCGACCTTCCTTGCTCGATCTGCTGCTTGATCTCAGGTCCTTAGCGTGCAATCCTGAATTCTCCAAGTGTCCATAGGCCTCTCCACGAACCTCAGCACGTCCACGAATCTTCCATAGCTCCAAAGTAACCGAAAGCAACCTGATTGTGATGCGAAATGCAAGAAATATGCATATTCTGGTGCAAAAACACTCTAGGACCTAAAGTGATGCAAACTAACCTAAAATGCAATGTATACGCGTGAGAAACTAACTTATATGTATGCAAAATGGATGGAATATGCAGTTATATCAAGGACAAGCAAAAGGCAAGTGTGGGGTTGTTGATATATCATACATTTACATCATTTAGGCTTGCATTTAGTCCATGCTTTCTTTTGCATGTTTTCTTTCTCTTTAGTCATATTTTCCTTTCCTTTTAGACTTAGGTTGCATTTAGGTTGTAGTTTGCATTCTCTACTCATTAAGGATGTTTTTAGGTACTAAAGAAGCTATTGGGAGCAAGGAAGAAGTGTGGGAATGGTTCAAAAAGTTAGCCAAGCTGAGAAGGAGCAAAAGGAGCTAAGAAAGAGGATTTCTGGTGTTCCATCGGTCATAGCTGAGCCCCATCGGTCTGTGAAGATCGATATAATGCAGCAGAAGAGTTGAAGATCCCATCGGTCATCTGCATCGATCACTTGTGACCGATGGGAAGAGACAGGACATCTGTATCGGTCATCTGTATCGGTCAAGACAGACCGATGGGATCCAGCCGAGTGTTCAAAGCATATCGGTCATCTGTATTAGTCAAGGAGTGACCGATGGGAATCAAGCGAATGCTCCATTTATCATTTATATCGGTCACTTGTGACCAATGAGAACCAGTCCGAACGTCCTTTTATTTACAACTTTTCCATTATTCTAGGCTTTTGCCATTTAGTATAAATAGGCTTGATCTAATGTTTTTAGAAAAAACTCTTGTTCTTGCTTAGTTTTAAGAATTTTTCCAGTCTTTGTAAGAACAAGTCTATCATTTTAATCAAATTTTTGTATTTTCCTTTAAATTTCTTCTCTAATCTCCCTCTTAATAATGAGTGAGTAGTTTTATTTTCTTCGTTGTCTTGATTGTGCTGTTGTGCTGCAAAATTATAATATATACATATTGTAATATTTATTTTTGATATCTTTAGCCACGTATTTTTTTTTTGACATACTTTTTACAAAGATTTTACATATTAGGATATATATATGTAAGTACTTATTTTAGATATCTTAAGCCACGAAACTTTTTTTTCGTGAATTATATAAATTTAATTTTCGAAAGGATCTTGAGATAATGGACCGCTGTATGGGTTGTCGTCTTGTGTAGCCTTGGGTGTAGTGTCATCTTCGTCTTCAGAAGAAGATATTTGCATTGCGATGGCTTCGAGGATTTTTTTGAGTTTATCTTTTCCTTTGGTTTTCTTGGATCCGGAGGATGATGTTGTTGACTCTGTTGGGCTGGTTGGTTTTATTTTCTGAGCGTTGGTGTTGATAGGTGGTAGTGCTCGGGATATCGTTGTCACGGATTGCTTGATTTGCTCGTGGGTTTGTATCCATTTTTCCAGGTTGGAGACAGAACAGCGATCCAAGTTGTATTTGTCCCACCATTTGACTCGGTATTCCCGGACCAAAGAGTATGGCATGTCAGGTAGAAAAGGTATGAGGTTAAAGTGCCATGATAGGATCCAAGGTACTCCCATGTCAATGTGGAAGGATATTTTTGGTAAAGGTCCAATGGGTTCATGTTTTTCGTGTTTAGTGTAGTAAGGTATGGATACTTTGAGTAGTTGTGGAGGATAAATTTGGTCACATGGTCCAAACCAGTGCCACCATTCATAGAACCATCCGGGTATTGATTTGGGACAGTGAAAGTCAAAAGAGATAAACCAGGAATGGTCATAGGTACGTAGGTAAAGGGTATGAAGGAAGGCTTTTTGGTAATCTACGTAAGTAAACCTTGAAATATGGTACCCGGGAATGGAAAAGTCTTTTCTGGTATGGAAGTTAAATAGTCCAAGGTCGTGAGGATTGCACATCCTGAGGATTTTACATGTGGAATAGGATATAAGGTCGGGGTTGGTTTTATCTGTATGGTGGGTTATTTCAACTGACTTGGTATCGACGAGGATAAATTCATAAAAGGTTCGATTTTTTGTAAGGTTGTCGGTGAGGTATTGGCTATCCTCGTAAAATATACGGTTGGTAAAGTGGGTAAGGTCTTTTAGTGATATTGGTTTGGTGAATGATGTAGTAGTGAGGTGTTGGCGATGTTGTTTAAGGACATATGAGGATTTTTGGTCAGTAGTTTTTTTGTGGAGAGGAAGGGGTGGCTGTTTTTTTAGGTAATGGGTTGACGGCTTTTGATTACTGGTGGTGATTTGTTTACTGGTGGAAATTCTGGAAATTAGTCAGAGGTGGAAATTCTGGAAATTCTGGAAATTCTGGAAATTTTGATTAGTCAGAGGTGGAAATTCTGCCAATGCAGAGAATTGATTACTGGTGGTAATTTGTTTCCCTTGTAGATGTGGTTGATTCTTGATGTAGTCTGCTGCGGACATGGGCCTTTTTTGTTCACTCATTTTGGAAATCTTGAGATTTTTCCTGTAAATACTCTCTTGTTAGAAAATCGGATAAACAATTATTTTTACCTTTTATATATTGTATATCAAAATCAAAGACAGATAAAATAGCTTGGCATCTTGCAAAAATTTGTTTAGAAACTAGATTTTTAACATCTTTTTGTAAAATTTCTTTTGCAGATTTGCAATCAACACGTAATAAAAACTTTTTGTTTATTAAATCATCTTGAAATTTAGAAATACAGTTTACGACAGATAAAATTTCTTTTTTAACTGTAGAATAATTCTTTTGGGGGCCAAGCCATACTCCAGAATGAAAACGAACTATTGACTCATGGGTTGACTCTGGCATTTTTTCTTTAAGGATTCCCCCATAACCTATTTCTGATGCATCGGTTTCTACTATTATAAATGCACTTGGATGTGGAATGACTAAGCATGGTAAGGATATGACTTTCTTTTTAATATCTTGGACTATACTTGTGGTAACCCAACCCGGTAAACCGTACCGCGGCTGTGTCCCACTACATACTCTAAGTCCGTTTCTATACTTAGCCATATTTTTAAACTTTTTCTTCATTCTTATTCTTTCTTATCAATACACAGCGGAATATAAAGTAACTCATTTCATTCATTTAACTTTCATAAAACACTTAAACAGGATTCAGGGCTAACTTGAACAAATCACAATGGTTCGCTAATGAATACAAACGATCATCTAGCAACATAAATAGCCAAACACCAAAGCCATAAGACAAAGCACAACGTCTTAACATAATTAAAACCCAGTCCCGATCCATCCATATACATCACAGCCGCCTGGTCTCGCCCCTTTACTGCTTAGTACCTACACACTCAAGAAGAGAGGCATAAGTATTTCATAAATACTTAGTGAGTACGGTCATCCCGTAACACCTGGTCAGTACCAAACACGCAATCTTACTTTCGGATTCAACATTCAACGCAATCAATTCGCAATAGACATAACAATATCAAACGGCCATGATCATCTAACTTAACCAACCAAGTTCAATCCCTTTTTAAGACCCATGACTACTTCAGCGAGAATCCCACATCCCCTAAGCTAGTACATGATCCGGATTACTCTGAGGTTAGCTAAACATCATATATGCCACGGTAAACACAACAATATATCATAACATAGGAATTGCTTATCAGTTCTAAACACATAACATGAAAATCACACAATCAACATGCAAACATTCAACCCTAGCAATCCTACGGTCCTAGACACCAACCACAGTCACGCACTCACCTTAGATAAGGCTGGAAACATATTGGTCAGAAGAAATCCCGATGAAAACTGCACCAAAACGAAGATATCCGATCTCCCTAAGAATCTCTCGGCTGTCCGTATGATCCGATCCTTATCCCCTCGACTATCTCTCGATCCGTTCACCTTTCTTCGAGCCAAACTCTGTTTTCCCTCGAAAACCCCACAAAACAAGGCTGTTAGCTCGAGGTTATCTGATGAAAACTCAACACTTAGGGAAATATCCGATCGCTTACCAATTTATCTCAGCGATGGTCGGATCTGCTCGGCGATAACCTGATCTCTCTCGGATGTCCTCGGGATAAACTGCTTTTCTTAGGGTTTTCTCTCAACTATTCTCTTTCTTTGCTTTATTACTCTCGAATAAATACAACTATCCCGAGAAAAGTCTCAAAATCCCTTAAATACTCGCAAAACCTTAGGTAACCATAACTTATCCGATGTTTTCCTGGTTCCAGTAAGTTTTATCCCGGTCTGATTCGATTCTCATGGCTATTCCCTGTACCGGCTCGACCATTCCTTCGATAAACCACAAAATAGCCGACCAAACACTTGGCCCACGGCCCAAATCCCTTCCTACTCGGATAAACCGCCCTTATCCGAGGTGTTTTCCATTTTTCACCCGGATATTCCTATTTCTCTCGGACAACTTGTCCCATCTCGACGAATCCTCTATTTCTCTCGGAGGTTTCCCTTTCTCCCTCGGAGACAGTCCACTGACACTCGGACTAACCTCCAAGACTCTCAGATAAATCCCACTGCACCGGGATAAATCCTATTTCCCACGGACTGGACCCTGTTTTCCCTCGGATATGGTCCATCCGGCTCGGCTATCCTGCCCACATCCGACTATTCCCTCGGTCATCACCCGACCATAGTCCGATCCTCCATTTCCCAGCCAATATCCGACCCTTGGCTCGATTATTCCTCGGACAACGCCCTGTCCGGTACGATCATTCCATATTTTCTCGGAGACGGATGCTACAACTCTCCCCCACCCGTTCTGGATTCGTCCTCGAATCTGACTCATCCGTTTGCAACTTGTCGAACTATTTGGGATACTCAGATTTCATCTTAGCCTCATTCTCCCAAGTGATCTGTTCATGTCTGTCGCAGTCCCATACGACCTGAACCATTCTGACTAGCTTCCCACGCTTAGTCCTTTCTTTCCGACCTATTACCCGAACCGGCCTAGCCACTACTGCAAGATCCTCTTGCAAGTCTGCTTGTGGCTCCTCTATAACCGTTTCCCGTTCGGTAATGTGCTTTCTCAGCTGTGACACATGGAATACATTATGGAACGCTCACATTTCTGATGGCAAATCCAACTTGTAAGCCACTGCGCCAACTCTTTCCAGTATTCGGTACAGCCCCATGTACCTCGGATTCAACTTGGCACTCTTAGCTGCCCAATCTGTTCCCTTATAAGTCAGTGCCTTAAGATAAACCATATCACCCACACTGAACTCTAAATCCCTGCGACGCTTGTCCGCATAACATTTTTGCCTGTCCATAGCCTCTTTCAGCTTAACCTTTAACAGTCTGATCTTTTCTGTAGTAGCCTCGACCACTGCTGGCCCCATTACACTACGCTCCCCCACTTGTGTCCAACACAATGGTGTTCTGCACGGCCTGCCATACAACGCCTCATACAGAGACATCTCAATGCTCCTTTGGTAACTATTGTTGTATGCAAATTCAGCCAACGGCAAGTAGTCTTCCCAACTACCGCCCCAGTCCAGTACACACACTCTCAACATATCCTCCAATGTACTGATCGTCCGTTCTGATTGCCCATCAGTTCTGATATCTCAACATATGCAACCGCGTTCCACACGCTTCTTGGAATTCTTTCCAGAACCTTGAAGTAAACTTCGGATCACGATCTGAGATGATACTCACTGGCACTCCATGCAACCTCACGATCTGATCAATGTACATTTCCACCAACTTTGGTACTCCATCAGTCTTTTTCATTGCTAAGAAGTGAGCAGACTTGGTCAAACGATCCACAACGACCCATATCCCTTCATGCAGCTTCTTAGTCTTAGGTAATCCCAGTACAAAGTCCATGGTGATCATGTCCCATTTCCATTCCGGTATTGGCAACGTTTGCAACAAACCACTCGGAAACTGATGCTCTGCCTTAACCAATTTCCACGTCTCACATCCAGCTACCCAGTTAGCCACATCACGTTTCATCCCAACCCAATGATAGTACTGTTTCAAATCCTGATACATCTTGGTCATTCCCGGATGAACAGAAAAACTTGACTGATGTGCCTCCTTCAGGATCGCATCCCTTAACTCCTTCACATCTGGAACACAGACCCGTCTGTTTACAACAATGGTCCCATTGTTTGAAGTCTGATATTCCGTCTTATCATTCTGTGACACCTTTTTCAGATTCTCATCCTGCTCCTGAGCAATCTGAATCCTAGTCAACAAGTCAGCTCTATCCGCAGCTTCCAGACCCAACGGTTCAACCCCTTCTGTTACTGCATTCAGCTGCAATGTCCTTAGCATGTTCAATATGCTTCCAACATTCTGTTCAGATGATACGCTAGCCCTTCTCCTACTCAACGCATCCGCCACCAAGTTGGCCTTTCCTGGATGGTATGCTATCTCCAAGTCATAGTCCGCTACCAACTCCATCCATCTACGCTGTCTCAAATTCAAATCCGGTTGAGTAAAGATGTACTTTAAACTCTTATGGTCCGTGTATATCGGCACCTTCTCCCCATACAAGTAAGATCTCCATATCTTAAGTGCAAATACCACAGCCACCATCTCTAAATCATGCGTAGGGTAGTTTCCTTCATGCTTC